TTGGCAATTGGCATGCGTTGGCATGTATTGGCATGCATTGGCATGCAGTGGTATGCGTTGGCATGCGTTGGCATGCGCTGGCATGCATGGGATGCGTCGGCATGCACGGGCATGCACTGGCATGCGTTGGCATGCATTAGCATGCATTGGCATGCATTGGCATGCGTTGGCATACACTGCCATGCATTGGCATGTATTGGCATGCTTGGGTATGCAGTGGCATGTGTTGGCATGCGTTGGCGTGCGGTGGCATGCATTGGCATACACTGGCATGCATTGGCATGCGTTGGCGTGTTATGGCACGCGTTGTCATGCATTGACATGAATTGGCATGCGTTGGCGTGCGATGGCACGCGTTAGCATGCATTGGCATGACATGGCATGCACTGGCGTGCATTGGCATGCATTGGCATGCATTGGCATCCATTGACATGCGTTGGCTTGCGTTGGCATGCGTTGGCGTACATTGGCATGCGTTGGCGTGCTATGGCATGCGTTGGCATGCATTGGCATTCGTTGGCATGCATTGGCATGCGTTAGCCTGCGTTGGCATGTACTGGCATGCGTTGGCATGCGGTGGCATGCATTGGCATGCCCTGGCATGCATTGGCATGCGTTGGCGTGCAATGGCATGCATTGGCATCCATTGGCACGCCTTTGCGTGCGTTGGCATGCGTTGGCGCGCATTTGCATGCATTGGCATGCGTTGGTATGCAGTGGCATGCGTTGGCATGCGTGGGCGCGCATTGGCATGCCCTGGCTTGCGTTGGCATGCATTTGCATGCGTTGGCATGCGTTGGTATGCGTTGGCATTCAGCGGCATGCGTTGGCATGAATTGACATGCGTTGCCATGCATTGGCATGCAGTGGCATGCAGTGGCATGCGTTGGTATGCATTGGCATGCGATGGAATGCATTGGCATGCGCCGGCATGCACAGGCATGCACTGGTATGCCTTGGCATGTATGGGCATGCGTTGGCGTGCTATGCAATGCGTTGGCATGCATTGGCATGCGCTGGCATGCGTTGGTGTGCGTTGGCATTCATTTGGCATGCGTTGGCATGCGTTTGCATGCAGTGGCATGTGTTGGCATGCCGTGGCATGCGGTGGCATGCATTGGCATGCGTTGGCCTGCCCTGGCATGCGTCGGCATGCGGTGGCATGCATTGGCACGCGTTGGCGTGCTTTGGCGCGCGTTGGCATGTATTGGCGTGCGTTGGCATGCGTTGGCATGCGTCGGCATGCGTCGGCATGCACGGGCATGCACATGTATGAGTTGGCATGCATTAGCATGCGTTGGCATGCGGTGGCATGCGTTGGCATGCACTGGCATGCATTGGCATGCGTTGGCATGCAGCGGCATGCGTTGGCATGCATTGGCATGCATTGGCATGCGTTACCCAGTCATATCAGGCAGGCGTCTTTGCATCAGTTGCACTGCGGCTGTACAGTCTGGCGCCGTTCGCACTGGAACTCTTGCCAGGACTGTAGGCTACGGCCATGCTTCGCATGCCCATCTAGCCTGCGGTCCGTTGTTTCGGCTTGTCCGACTCAACAAACAAGGCTGGGGTTCTGGTAGCAAGTCGCACGAGGCAGGTAAGGCTAGCGCCGTCCGCAGTGGAACTCTGCCAGGACTGTGGGCTACGGCTATGCTACGCATACCCATCTAGCCTGCGGTCCGTTGTTTCGTCTGGCCCGGCTCAACAGATAAGGCTGGCCTTCTGGTCGCAAGCAGCACTAGGTAGGAAAGACCAGCGCCCTCCGCACTGGAACTCTGCCAGGACGGTGGGCTACTGCCATGCTTCGCCTACCCATCCAGCCTGCGGTCCGTTGTTTCGGCTGGCCCGGCTCAACAAATATTGCTGGAGTTTCTGGTAGCACGCCGCACTAGGTAGGCAAGATCTTGGGAACGCTGCTAGGGCTTCGGGCTAAGCTCCTTGAGTTTGCGTGAGTCTAAAAGTTTTTAGAGTCACGCACGTTTCCAGTCGCCAGAGCGAAGGCGAAGGTGTTTTGGGTTAGTGTATGGTCAGGGTGTTGATATTTTGGGGACACACCTATATCCCTGACCCCTCGTCTTCCCGCTTCAAATGCTACCCCTATCAGGGCAGCTCTCCCCGTGTGCTACCCCTAGCTCGGGTAGTCAATTCTTTTCTCCGCACGCGCTACCCTCACCTTCGCATGCGTTGGCACGCATTGGCATTCAGTGGCAGGCGTGGGCATGCATTGGCATGCGTTGGCATGCGTTGGCATGCAGTGGCATGCGGTGGCGTGCGTTGGCATGCGTTGGCATGAATTGGCATGCGTCGGCATGCACGGGCATGCACTGGTATGTGTTGGCATGCATTGGCATGCGTTGGCCTGAATTGGCATGCGTTCGCATGCATTGGCATGCATTGGCGTGCTATGGCGCGCGTTGGCATGCATTGGCACGACATGGCATGCAATGGCATGCCTTGGCATGCGTTGGCATTCATTGGCGTGCATTGACATGGATTTGCACGCGTTGGCATGCACTGGCGTGCGTTGGCATGAGTTGGCATGCGTTGGCATGCGTTGGCATGCATTGGCATGCGTGGGCGTGCTGTGGCATGCGTTCGAATGCGCATGGGTTGGCAT